GACGTGGGCCGCAGGAAGCTTCCTAAACGTTGCGACACATTATGGGCAGAATTCCGTGATTATGGAGAACGTTTTCGTACCCAGAGACAATCAACAAGTCAATGTTTGAGGCTGCTTGATGAAAAATATCTAACGGTTGTGTTGCTTAACACGCATTCTAGTGCAGATGCTCTTTTTTACTGGTATGATTTGTACCTCTTTACAAACCAAAGGCCTCAAGATAATAAGTGCAGTATATATCACAAGGACCCCTATATTTTTACACTGCTGCCGAGATCTGCACTTGTCATGCATAGCGAAATTTGATGGATACGATTTCTGCAAAGATACTCCTAACCGTTGCTGAATGGCCCTCCAAGTGAGTGTAACTCAACGGGACACCTGAGCCTCGGCTACACAGCGAGGCCGGTGCATGCGGCGATAGGTGTCGGTACTCATGCAATGTTGCACGGTCATGTGATGGCCATCATCAACAAGCGGCTGTCGGACAGGTAGCAACAAAAACTGCAGCCTGCGCAGAGCCGGCGGCGACGAATCACAGGCGGCGCCGGCGCTGCGCTCGCCGCCGGTTGGCCGCGCCGGCCGGCTAGTTTCTGCAGGTCACGAGCCGCGTGACCGGCCGGGTCGCGCCGGGTGCTCCGTGGCGCGCGCCGCTTCTGACGCCGCCGCGCCAAAATGGCCGCCTGCTGTCGGATGGCGCGGCGCCCTGTGTGTTCCGTCGTTAGTGCTATTGATGGCGCGACCGGCGCGCATACTAAGCAGCCGGCCAGCGGCGAGGCGCTCTTATCTGCTGGCAGGCGGCTGTCAATGGTGGTGGCGCAGCCGAGCGGGCGGCGCAGCCCAGGCTGATACCGGCCGCGACACGGGGTGGCCGCGTGACAGGAACACCTCCGGGCCCCCCGGCACAGCGGGCCTGACCCTTTGCGCCACAGCGGGCCCGATCCTCCCACGACACCGGGTCTGACCTACCCTGCCACACCGGGCCTGATCTCCCCGCCACACCCGACCTGACCTCCCCACCACATCAGGTCTGACCTTCCCTGCCACACCAGGCCTGATCTTTCTGCGCAACAGCCGGCCTGATCTCGCCGCCACACCCGACCCGATCTTCCCCGCCACACCGAGCCTGACCTCTCCATCACAACGGGCCTGACCCTCCACGCCGCACCGGACCTGACCCTCCGCCACACCGGGCCCGACCTCTCCGCTAACACAGGGCCAGACCTCCCTCCCACCCCACCGAGCCAGACCTTGCACGCCACACCGGGTCCGACCTCTCCGCTACACACCGGGCCAGACCCTCTCCCACCCCACCAAGCCAGACCTTCCCCGCCACATCGGGCCTCATATCGACTCCAGGCCAGATCTTCCCCTTCACGCCGGGCGTGCTATTAACTCTTGGCTCAATATTTTCTTTTTATTTCTGTTCGTCGTTTATTCCCTATTCTTGACAACTTTGCTGCAGCCTGAGGAGAGTGGTGATCCCAGATCCGTGTGGACCACGCAGCGGGAGGCAGTCCTATACCCCGTGAATGCAAGCGGCACTCAGGCCGATATGTGGGGCAGCATCTGAACAACGAACCTCCAGATAGGAGGCTAAAAATCCAACTTGGCTGATGGCTCACTCTCAGGCAAAAAAGAGAAGTTTTAACTCCCAAATCCTTACCGTTCTCTCTGTTTGACGACATCTTCGACAATCAGAAGCCTGAGCCTGATCAAGAAAAGCTGAGAGAAACTGTATATCTTTATCACAAATTGAATCGACGAATAAATACAAATTAAATCCCTATAGATCTTCATCAATTTTAAGTCAGCAGAAAATGCTGCAGATCATGTCAAATGGATGACTCCTCGAGACCCTTAATCACAAACCTCACCACGACAGCGTGGGTAAGATATCACAACTGAAATGGTCGAACGACGAGCACATCAAAAATACTATCAACCAATCATCGATGAATTTTTTTACTGACTTCTGCTCAGTGCGCAACAGCCTCTAGTCTTTTTGATGACGACAGTGCAGATGATCTTCACCGGGCCCCCAGCCCACAGGAAAGCTGAGAAGTGACCTCGGTAGCATGCCTGACTCATCTCATCTGACATCACGACTCATCATCACTGACTCTTACCCACCGGCGACAGCTCTGAGGGCGGAACGGAGGCCGAGGGCCCGACTCCAGTGCGATGCCGCACCTCCCACGGCGAGGACGTCGGCCGGAGTTGGCTGGGTCACCGTCCTGCAGGCCACTGGCGGGTCACCCTGCTCAGGGACCACGGCGACCAGACCTCGCCAGCGGCCTGGCGTCGGACACGGCAGACCAGCCTCCGACCTCAGCCCCATACGTGAGCAGCTCCTGCGGCCCCTCGGCCCTCTTCCACCTGCTTGGAAAGTTTGGTCGGCGTCCGAGGCCTGCGGGAATATCCAACAGCTGGTTACCGTTCACGACAATGCCTGCGTGCTCAGGACTGTACAGCCTGTACAGCTCTTGCTGTTGATGACACATTCTGAGGACTTCCAGCCTGCCGAGGAGACGCTGGAGGTCGGTTTTAACGACGCCGTGATGCGGACTGGGAGCTGCCTCGCTGGCGACACTCGAACCGACCAGTCGAGCCGGCACTCGGGTCCCGACCTCTGCCCGCGAGCTCTGAAGCACCGGGCAACGGGCCAGCGACACGCGCGGAGGTAGTTGCCCGGGGTGGGTACAGCAATCCCAGCCGCCTTCCTGCAGCGCCGGCGCATCGAGTCCGTCCGCGGGGCACGTCGCCACCTCAGCCCCCGAGCTGCTCGGTGACGTCCTCGGGTGGGCGCCGCTGGTCACGCCAGCCGGCACCTGGCGGCGTGGCCTGTCGAGGTCACGGTGAGGAATGATGGTGTGCTGGGCTCGTAGCTGGCGTCGTCCGAGCTGGTGGCTGGAGTAGAGCTGTCGTCTGCCGCGATATGCCGCATCCGTTTCTTGTCGCCCCGTTCCTGGGAAAGTGATGGAACTCACAGGTTGTAACAGACTGGACCGCGCCAGGCGACAGACATGTCAGTCGTCCTCAAGCGCCATGTATGATTCTTTGCATTAGCGCAGAGCGCTCTCACATTTGAACCAACTTAAGAGCACAATGTTTACGGCTATAGCATACACGTGAAATTTATCACTGACATACAATAACCGAAGTACCCTGTCTGTACTTGCATAATCGTTACGCACTTAGCTTTCAGCGGCATCATTGGTCGCAATGGATCTTACTCTGGCTCCATAGTGAATGGTTCAACTTTTCCGGTCATCGAAGTTCATATGTAAACTTGTCTGCTTTGAATTGTTTGGCATTGATATCCGGCTTTGAAGCCAAAAATGGTATGACTTGCACGGAACTTTTGCCGTGGCGTATTGTTCCATCTTCTATTAAAGGGGAATGTTTCATGTTTGAAGATATCTAAGCAAGCTTCAGATATGATGAAATAAGCTCACTTTAACTAGCAATATGCTTTTTACGTAGAAGAGACTGCTTTTAACAGTACGGTTTTCAGCGTGGTAATTATGCTCCTCAATGCGTCATGGCTTGATCACGCCATCGTATCTAGCATAACATCGATTGAGAACCAGTTGACGGCCGTTATATCTGGAAATCGTGCTCACGAAAGCCAGATACGAACGCCTTGACAATTATACTTTTCTTGGTTTTGATCGCCGCAGGTATGATGGAAAGGTAAGATCTGAATGAGGTTTTTATGACGTCATCATTGCCGAGGTGACTGAAATGCACTCCGCGATATGCCTTTCCCCATTTTCGCCAGCATATAGCTCAGAAACCAGAGGGGCTTAGGATTTCACTGAGTCAATCAGCTGAAGGTCAAACCACTTACGACACTAGGCTCCTGGAGAATATCAAGGGGGTCTGAAACACTGGCCGTGCTGTAGTTCTGCTCTTATGCAAAATATACTTTTTTGGCTGAGAACATATTCCAAGATTCAGCTTTCGACGAGTTGACTGTCAGTCATCTCAAACTATGCAACGAATATGGCTCTGCTTGATGACGCCATAAAAAGTGATGGCAGGTGAAAGGATCTAGTGTCACAACGTGGTCACACTCAACAAATAACTCAGGCTAACAGACATGCAGATCTGTTCGTCTTTTCTCTTGGCTAGGTACATCTCAAGGTCATATTTATTACGGACGTTGGGTCTGCTCAGCTTGGCGTCAGTTAAGATCATGGCATCATTGTACACATAATTATTTCTACTGAACTTCTTCTTCCCTGGCTGTTACAGGAAACGTTACAAAATAGTCATGCATTGACATTTGGCTATAGATCTCGATCGAAACAGTTTGCGACAGCTTGCAAATGAATGGATGGGCATATCGTCTTTTAATTGTACTGTGTCAACAACGAACTACCACCAGCATGAATGTCGCCAGAGTTGGTGCAGATCTTTTTAAATAAACGGCTCGAAAGAACTGAGCCGAAGGAAAATGTCTTGTTCAATACATTGCATTAGCAAATACCTCACCTCTAACTGATTAAATGGATTTCGTCTCTTGTTTCACACACGACTCTCTCCTTACGCTCAGTTGCCTCGGCAAAGCTTGAGCTTCTCATTGAGTTTTTTTTTCGTTGCATTTGGTACGCCAGTACCAAGTATAGTAGCTCCTAACATAATCGCCATAATTTTGGCCATGGCACCGCAGCGATCTAAGAAAACCGTACCAAACTGGCAACAACTCTGCTGCTGGTCATCTGTGGAGGTGATCAGCTGCGCAGTTAAGTTGGGAAGGTTTTTAGAAGGACCGATCGCTTTGATGTGCAAGAGATGCAGACACCGTTCTTTTGCTGTCACTATTAGCAAACAAACTACGCCTATTGTCTAGGATGGCGACAGAAAAACGAGCAACTGCCGTTCTCATCAATACACGAGGTGCGCGGGATATACATTAGTGCCATGCGTCACACACCCAGGCTGAGATACGGTTCGGGGCAATGAACCTCACGCCCGGACTGACCACAAGCCGGATGCAATCAGAGTGGAAGCAGCCCAACGGCAATGGTCAGATGCAGATCAATCCGCTGCAGAATACGGCCAGTCAGCACGAGCCAGCTCAGCGTCCAGCCCCGCCCGGCCGGCCGGTCGGCGCTGCTGTGACGCCATGTGGTGCGGGCAGAGGCACCGCCGCACGCCAGCTGGCATTCATCAGCTGGCACGGGGTGACGCCCTCCGCGGCGATCGTGTACGCCCCGAGCCACGCGGCCGGTCGGCGATAGCAGGCCGCCTCACAATGAAGCGGTCCCCGCCCGACGGGCCGAATTTGTCACCGCTTATCTTTCAATTCACCTGCCCACCGGTAATGACCAGCGGGGCGCGGCCATACCTCAGCCAGTCAGCCGGCGGAGCGGTGCCATACGTGAAACGTCAGCAGCTGCCGCGATCGACGCCGCCGACAATCGACGCCGCTCCGTCGGCGCGGCCGGCCATTTTCGCGTCCAGCCGCCGATTGCAGGCGCACACCGCGGCCTATCTCGGCCAATCAGACGGCGAGGCGGCGGCGGCGGCGCATGCGTAAGCCGGGGGACGGCGGCCGGCGGGGCGGGAGCGGCGGGCCGCGGCCAGCTACCGTCCCGGCCGCCTCTCAGTCGCCGCCCGCTGCCGCCCGGGGGCCGGTCACACGCCGCGCCGCTCCCCGTCATGACGTCACCCCGCGCCACTGCAGCCGCCGCCGGCCGCCGCGTCGGCGTTCTCGGCCGTGCCGGCGGCCGGTGCGGCGCCGCCGTACGGCCTGACGGCCGCTCGAGTCGTACCTGGCGCTGCAGCAGTCACTGCGCTCGCAGCGCCTCCTCTCCACCTTCTCGCAGATGCCGACCTGAGCAAGGCCCGCAGCGCCGCCGCCGCCGCCGCTGCCGGTAAGTTTGACTTCGCGCGACTGGCCGAGTCGGCGACAGAGGCGACGCCGACCGGGGCGGCGGCCGCCGTGCTGCCCGCCTTCCCGGCGCTGGAGCAGTACCAGCCGCTGCTGCTGCCCGCCCTCTTCCCCGGCCTGGGCCTTCCCTTCACGCGGCGGCCGGCACCAAGTCGCGGCCGCGCCGCCCGACCGAAGAAACAGTTCATCTGCAAGTACTGCCAGCGCCACTTCACCAAGAGCTACAACCTGCTGATCCACGAGCGCACGCATACGGACGAGCGGCCGTTTCTCGTGCGACATCTGCGGCAAGGCCTTTCGCCGACAGGACCACCTCAGGGACCACAGGTAAGAACTGATGCTCTCAGCACCATCTCAGAGACCATAGGTAAGCTCAGGTGAGCTCGGGTGAGAACTGGTGCATGAACCAGTCAGATGGGAACTCCTTTATAATACAGGTCTACTCAGAGACCACAGGTGAGCATTGGCATCAGCAAACTATCCCGTGCACCAGAGACGAGACTCGTATCAGCGTGATTAAAGCGGGATCACAGGTGGAAACAGCTGTTCTCAAGGCCTTCCGAACAAGCACAGGCGAGAACAGATGCACCAGTATCACCTACCCCAGGGGGGGGGGGGCCGCAGGTGACGGAATGCTGTCCACAGGACCACCCCAAGGGGCCAGAGACCAGAGATGTTGTCCTCAGGACCAGAGACAAGGGCTGTTGTCCTCAGGACCAGAGACAAGAGCTGTCGTCCCCAGGAACACTTCAGGGACCTAGACAAGGACTGTAAGAGATACACTGCGGTCTCCAGAGCCATCTCAGGGCCTAGAGACGAGGGCTGCTGTCCCGCAGAAAGCAGTTGTCATCTCCCCGATACAGCAGTCCTCCGCGGGGCTGGCAGTCGAGCCCGACGATCATCTGGAGCACAGGAGGGAGGGCACATGTATGTAACGTCATCCAGTCGTGCGGCTACCCTGGTCTGTTCTCTGTGGCATACGTCGACAGGCAATGTGAGACGACCATGCCTCCTGCATGGTAATTTGCCGCGGTGAGATCCGCCCAACTGAACACGGAACCTTGCCTGCATAAACAGCAGCGTCGGTTTAATTTGCGGCGCGCCTCTCACCATTATCGGCGCTTGCCTGCCAATACTCGAACAATCTATCGTGTAATCGTGCCCCGAGCTATCATTGGGATGGTCTGTAACGTATTAAGCTAGGTGTAGCCAAGGCAATCCTTATCACGTACGGATGAAATCACGGCCAGGGTGCAGTACCGTCTGGCCGCTGAACTTCTTTGTCCGGTACTTCATTTAGTCACGTGCAGCGTACTTACTGAATACGTGATGCCTTGATTTGAATATGAAGACGCTACCTTCATGGCTATCTGTATTAGCATGCATCCACTTCTGCCCTGTGTCCATTGGCGTGTTTTGAATCGAATTGTGTAGCGGCGATGGTTTTGCATGCAGTTTTGATATCCAGGAAACGGAAGCTCTCAGTCGAATCACGGCAGCACCTGGCGTAACCACATCCGCCTGAGTAGGAGTCGAGGACCCGGAATCCGCAGCACCTTTGTATTCCTGGAGACATCACATCTGCCAAGACGCAGGCCTGTCAGTACCTGCGAGCATGATCCGGCCTTCTTGCAGTGTCCGACCTCTCCCTGGAATAGGGCCATATTTACAGCTCTTGGAACAGCACGTAGTTGGTCTCGTCAACGGAGGGACCACCCAATTGATTTTTAAATGGCAGGTGGGACGCTTAAAACGACTCATAACTTGGCTGGCCAACGCGCCGCCATATATCTGCAGCTTTCATAATTTATCAATATCGTTGCGGGATGGAGAATAAAAGTGTGCCTTGCAGGGATCGTTCGGCACACAATACGTCAGTGATTTAGTCATCGTAATAGAGCTTTATGCTTCGTTAAATCACCTCCGCATTTGACTTACGCCCAATAAATGCTGCCAGCAACAATAAACCGGCTGGCTAATCACTGCCGAGAATAACATTGTAACATCCCCATCAATGATGTTTATTGCGAATTTAGTGGCCATACGTTGGGCGGCGGGCATGCCGCCGTGGCGGCCCGACGCCGCAGCAGCTGGGCGGAAGGTGATGCAGATGAGCGAAGGCACTGCGTCACGCCGCTCGCGGGTTCAGCGTGTGTCACGTGTCACGTGGGATCTGTGTGGGTGGCGCGGCGCTGCGGGATGGACGCTGGTGGGCGGGGAGTTTCAGACGCGCTGTCTCGGTGAAAACGGGCGGAAGTGACGTCACAGCTGCTGAGCGTGACCTTTGCCATCGTCGTCGCGTGTTGCATACACCACAGATGTGGTCCGTGCCTGCATTGCTGGATAATGCACATGAACGTAGGCTAGATACTGCTGGAGAACTGCTGACTCCATGTCTGCCAGCACAAGTTGCACCACATGCAGGCAGAAGGGCGATGGATGGAAGGAGGTAGGAAGCGATGTTATACAGGGTGAGAGACGGAAAGGGCAGACAGGGAAAGCGAAAAAGGAAAATAATATGAAAGAGAACGAGAAAGAAGGATCGAATAATGATACATATGTATAATAATATATTATATATATATATATATTATATATATAATATGCATAGGGTAAGGGAGAGCTAGAGAGAGGAAAAGGCGGAAGGGATAGCGAGAGAGTGGAAGTGAAGGGGGAGTGACGGAAACAGACACGTTGTTTGCAGCGGTTCTCGTAACACGGTCAGCTTCTAACAGCGTTGCCCTCCTGTCCACAGGTACATCCACTCGAAGGAGAAGCCGTTCACTTGCGGTGTGTGCGGCAAGGGCTTCTGCCAGTCGCGCACGCTGGCCGTACACAAGATCCTGCACATGGAGGAGTCGCGCACCGCTGTCCCACGTGCAGCCGCAGCTTCAACCAGCGCTCCAACCTGAAGACCCACCTGCTGACGCACACCGACATCAAGCCCTACTGCTGCACTGACTGCGGCAAGGTGTTCCGACGGGCGGTGCGACCTGCGCCGCCACGGCTGACGCATACACTGGGCCTGGAGGAGGCCAGCGACGCGAGCGAGGAGGCGGCGGAGCCGGACGGACCGCGCGCCCGCCGCTGCCGCTCCAGCAGCACATGTCGCAGGACAAGGCGCAGCAGCTGGAGGCCGCCCGCGGCGCGCCCGCGCCCACCGTGACGGCGAAAGTCGCCAAGTTCAGCATAGAGTCGCTCATGTCGTAATCCGGCGACAGGCGGCCGCGCTATAGGCGGGCCCGGTGGTGTAACCGTAACTGCCGGTGCCTCGCGATGGAGCGTTCCCCGACGTGCGCGAGGAGTCGGACTCGTCCTGCCCGGGAGCAGGCCAGCCTGTACAATGATGATGAACTCTGATGTACATAGCTCGACCGCGACGCGCCGGCTGCGTCATGTGATGAGAGCCCTTCGTGTTACAGGGGCTTGTACGTCTTCACTGGTGCGCGAGGACCGACACTTGCCATCGGCCATGATATTTGAATGTCAGGCGGCATCCAGCTCAACGTGTGGACGGCTGACCGAGACGTACATGATGCCATTGTCCTCGCGCTAAAATGCTCAGTGTTTGAATGCCTACCGTCAGCATGTGATTGTTCTATTTCCTTGAAATGTTCGTGAAGATAGGCTTGTTAAAGTCTTTTATGTACGAAAAATATGGGCATTGCCTCGTTTGACACCTAATTGAAATGTATTACGAAACAGCTCATTGTTGTAGCTACAATAGATTGTATTGCCATGACTAGCGCACCTAAATAAAGTTAAAAATGCGTATCTTAGAGATGCCAATCTAGACTTAACAAACCTACGGTATTGCAGGTAACTTTACTCTAAATTCATTCGGAATACTGTGACCAAGGGCACAGATCACAATTGTTTCTTTCAATACTCTCTTGAAACCATTTGTGTAGCTGGCTTTTCTCTAAAAACTAGCTGCCAGGTGGATGTTGGTTGCGTAAAACAATTGCTGTCATGGCTTAAACCGGTGCGATGTTGTGCACTCAGTGCCTATCACGCGAGTCCACGTCCAGTGCACGTATTCGCATATGCAACATGGTCTCTGAGCATCTCTTCAAATAAAAACAATACCTCTCTTGGTAAAAACAGTACCTCCCTAACTAAACAAACGACTGCATCAACAGACTGAACAGCTAGCAGCAGCTAACAGTTATAGCATGGTTGTAGATTTTTGCTCATGTTGCTTTTGATATAGTATTTTGGCACTCCGTTTTTCGGGTTACTAGGAGAGAGGCAGAGGGCGTGGGGAACCGGTGAAGAGCAGGAACTCGGCGAATGATATGTAGCCAGCGAGGAAAGGAAGTCAGTAGGGGGAGGAGCCGGCGAGGGACAGACATGGAGATGGACCAGCGAAGGGGATTAATATGGGGAGGGGGGGGGGGGCAGCAAAGGTAGTCAGCGAGTGAGCAAGCCAGCTTAGGACTTGCGTGAGGCAATTCCTGACGGACACTGCAAACTTGGCAGAAATAATTCCAGAGATAACAGGTTTTCCGCTCGTGCATTGCACGGTTTCGCGTTTATGGACAAAGTTGCTACCAATGCACCGCAAATGAAAATGAAACGTGCACAAACACTAAACTTTGAATAAAGCTGGTTTTTTACGCCATGGGAAACGTCACCAAACGTCCCTAAATTAATGCTCCGGTGAAAAATGACCTTATCTCAAATATTTACAATACACCCGACATTAATTGAACCTGCTCCATTGAAAATAATACTACATATGCGTCAAAGCTTCAGCACATTTTCACTCAATAGTTGCGTATGCTTCGCTGTAAATTTAAGCATTATGCCATAACCTTTGGTCATTCATGCAAGACAATGAATTCAGCACACGCTCAAAACGGTGCGCACAAATAGGGGTTTTACGTATGCCTCATTTGTCGGAAGTGATAGCCTTAAGATGTAAGATGTTGTTGTCTCAGCGCTTAAAGATCATGGATGTTTCCCCAATTTATTATGCATAAATCCTCTTCCTCTCATCTAATTCGCAGCGTTTGCAGCTATAGAACACACGCTCTCTGTCCACGCCGTGCATACGATATCGTCTGGTTCTCTGTCCATGCCATGCTCACGACGTCCTCTGGTTCTCTGTCCATGCCATGCTCACGATGACCTCTGGTTCTCTGTCCATGCCGTGCTCACGACGTCTTCTGGTTCTCTGCCCATGCCGTGCTCACGACATTCTCTGGTTCTCTGTCCATGTCGTGCTCACGGCGTCCTCTGGCATTTGGTATGCGGTGCGTAATGTGCACGCGCATTACGCTAACACCAAACAAAGGGTGACGTCGATGCCTTTGCTGGGTTGTGCCGATTGGCAGCCTTCCTTGCTTTTGCAAACGGCTTTGTTCCAGTATCCCCACAGGCAGACATTTGGAGGATCAAGTCTGAGGAGTGTGTTAACTCCTAATGTTTTGAAGCACATGCAACACCACTCTTTCTCCGAAGGACCATGCCAGTTTTAAGGTGCTGGCGGAGTCGATGTGGGTGGCGGTGGCGATGGATGGCGGATGTCTATTCTGTGTGAACAATTTGACTTTTTTCTTGTACGTCCTTTCCTGCTCACATGAACTTACAGGTTTCTTTACCTGTCAAAAGTACTATGAGGTTTATATCCCAATTGGTGAGCGCACAATAATCATAAAAGATCTACAGGGCCAAAGCAATACCCACAGTCGGCCTCCAAACTC